GCTTTCCCGGGGCTGGGCGCGCGCCGGCTCTCCGCCTGGCACGCCGTCACCGCGGGGGACGTGTCGGCCTCGCCGCGCGGAGGGGACGCGCGGAGGGGCTGGTTTCTGGGCGAGCCGCGAGCTTTGCCCATTAAGCTGCAGCAAGAAGCCAAATCAAAAAGCCAATCTCCAAGCCTCCCAACCGAACGTCACCCTATCAGCTGGGAGCCAGGGAGCCGCACCGAATGACAAGCCGCGCATATTTATCCTCGCGCGCCGAGGGGGGATTTTCAGATAGCGTCCCGAGCAGCCGCGGGGAAGTGGACCTGCGCCTCGCGGCCCCCAGGCCCCGGAGGCCCCCTGCGGAGGGGAGCCCTCGCCCGCGGCCACCCACCCAATCGCCGGAGCCCGGCGCCCGGCTCCTCCCGGCCGGCGGCGGTCCCGAGACGGCGGCGCGTCCTGACCTGGATTCCGCGGAGTCCGGGGCTCCGGGCGGCGGGCGGGGAGGGCGGCCAGGCGGGCGCGCGGCACCGGCTTTCCTCTTGTCCTCGGGAGACGCCGCCTGCAATTCCGAAATTAAGTCTCCACCAACACATCTGTGGTTTTTAAATATAGCAGGGGACGATTACCCAGGCAGGGTCCACCCAGGCCTAAGGGAGGAGTTGAGGGGGATGGAGGTTGGCAGGGGAGGGAAAATAAAACTCCCTTTTCCCCCTCTTTTTTTCTTCTGTTCTTGGTGCAGGACTCAGTCTGTCATTTTCTCAACCCAAATCAAACAACAGCTTGCGAGAGACGCTTGGGTGAGCGCTGGTATGTTGGCTTTTGGGTTTTTAAGGCTAAAAATAAGAGGGGGCTGCCTCCCAAATTGCTGCTTACTCTGGGCCTGGAGCCTGGAGGAGAGATGGTCTTTTGATGCAGCAGCAGAACTAGGGTTTGGGGCTTGGCTCAGACAAAAGTGTACACACGTAGCCTGAAATCAGATGCCTGTAATTTCTTCTATATTTGTCAGGCGTGGTCCTGGAGGCATGAGGGTTGGGCAGGCCTCCCCTAAGAATGAGGTTTCATCTAGTTTATTGATGGCATTAGGCAGATCTAAAATGAGCATGGTGGCTGGCTGGTCCTTTGTAGAGGCACCGCTATGGATTCTGGGGCAGAATCACAAGGGTGGGAAGTTGTTCCTCTCAGGCCTCTCTGTTGCCTGAAGCAGGTCTGAGGGGCCAACAAGGAAGAATAATGCTTAGCAAGGATCAGTCCTCCTTAGGGCTGGCAGCCTTGCTAATGAATTTGATTGTATTATTTCATGTCATCCTCATAAAACTCCGTGAGCTAAGTACAATTACTAACTCCACATTCCTGTTGAGGAAACTGAGCCTTGGAGAGGCTAAAGAACCATCCCAAGGCCACAAGCAGCAGAACCAAGGATTGGAAGAAGGTGGAACCAACTGGAATTTCTCTGATAATCACAACCGTATGTGCAACTTCCAGGATCCCTGAGGGACTGTTCTGGAACAAGGTTTGGTGCGAAGAGACAGGTGGGTGTAGGAATTAGAAAGCGACTGAGCCTGGGATGATGTGAGTTCTTTCCTGATCCCTTGACTCAGTGCTCCTTCAGCAAATAATGTGGTGGTTTCCATCCTGAGTTTGAGTCCTTCGATGTGCTCCTAACTGAGCCTTGTGATCTCAGACCCCTGAACCTTCATGGCCCTTGAGTTCAGTTAAGGTTAGGGCCGAAACACTGAATCTGTAAGATTTCAATAACTTCTAAAGTTTGGGATTTCAGGATATGTCATTGGTGGGATTTTCCTTGTATTTGTTTCTATGGAGATCCACAAGGCTGACTGGTCTATAGTCAAGACCAAGAGATGGCTGGTGGGTGCATAAATTGGTATCACTTTTAGGAAGGGCACTTTTGAAAGATATATCAAATTCCTTAAAAAATATGAACCTCTTTTGACTCAGTAATTTTACTGGTAGAAATTTATTCTATGGCAATAATTAAGAATGTGCTCAAATACTTAGTTACAAAGATATTCCTGGTAGTGTTTATAATAGCAAAAAATTAGAAACATCTTAATTTTCAAACAGAATTGGTTGAGTAGATTGTGTTACATGACATAATGGTGTATTCTACCACTATAAAAATGCTGGTGCAGCATTCCATGTATTGACATGGAAAGGTTGCATGATATGTTATTGAGAGAGAATAAAAAACAAAACATAGAATGTGACACTCTGTGTGTGTGTGTGTGTGTGTGTGCGTGCATGTCCTAGTAGCATAAAAACACCAAAATGCTAATGGTAGTTATCTTTGGGTGGTGGGATTCCTAGTGATTTATTTTTCTGTTGAAATCAACTTTATTGAGGCATAATCTATATACAATAAAATTCACCTCTTTTTAAAAAGATTTTATGTATTTATTTGACAGAGAGAGAGAGATAGTGAGAGCAGGAACACAAGCAGGGGGAGTGGGAGAGGGAGAAGCAGGCTTCCCGCCGAGCAGGGAGCCCGATGCGGGGCTCGATCCCAGGACCCTGGGATCATGACCTGAGCCGAAGGCAGACACTTAACGACTGAGCCACCCAGGCCCCCTAAGATTCACCTGTTTTAAGTGCACAGGTTGATGGGTTTTGACAGTAGCACACACAAGCATAACAACCACAATCAAGATACAGAACATGTACGTCTCCCCTCAAAGGTTCCTAGCCCCTTGGCAGTTATCCCTCCTCCCCTCAAGCAACCATTGATCTGCTTTCTGTCACTATAGATTAGTTTTGCTTTTTCTAGAATTTTCTTCTTTGTGTCTATTTATAGCTCTTGCTATTTCTTCAAGGACCATTACCCATTCACTAAAACAACAACAGTGACAGTACACACAGAATTGGTTTTGTCCTTTTTCTAGAACTACCCAAAACTGACAGGCGCTTCATCTTCTTCTCACCTGTAGCAGGGTGTGGCCAGGCAGGAAGGTGGGAGGGGAGGGGAGCAGCTCAGCACATTCAACCACTGCTAGAGGCAGAGTGACTGGCGAGGGTTATCTGACTTCTGGGCAGGGTGTAAGAACCAGACCCAGTTCTGCGTTCTGAGCCTCTGTGTCCTCACCAGTAGCATGGAAGAAAAAATAGTAACAACAGTAACATCCACTGGTGGGGTTGGTGTGAGGGTTCCCTGAGATTACAGTTTCTGATACAGAGTAATTCTCAAATGTATGTTAATTCACTCTTTCTCCCCCTTACCCTGCTTGCCTCCCACTGGAAGCTCTGCAACCAACTCTCTCCTCTGAACACTGGACAGAGTCCCACTTTTTTCCCTTCTCTACTACATGCATACAGGGTTTAAAACAACAACAACAACAACAGTAATTCTGATGACAGTGTGCCTTCAGTTTCTGCCACTGTTTATTCCCTAATTTCTGGTTGTGGTCGGACTCAAGGAGATCACAGGAGAGCCAGCAAGCAGGCTATTTGTTGTCAGCAGCAGGAGCAAGACCCGCAGACTTCATTTTCAAGTTAGGAGGACACTGAGGCCAGAGAAGTGGGGGGATTCAACCCAATCACAGAGCTCACGCAGCAAAGACTGGTTGGAGTCTGTTACGGGCTGCACTGGGACCCCCTACCCCCAAACGCGTAGGTTGAAATGGTAACCTCCTGTACTTCAGAATGTGAGGGCCAAGAGATAATTGAGTTAGATGAGGTCATTAGTGTGGGCCCTAATCAAATGACTGGTGTTCTTATAAGAAAAGGACGAGGACACAGGTAGGCAGCGGGAAGACATGTGAAGACACACCAAGGAGGCAGCCATCCGCAGGCCGAGGAGAGAGGCTTCGGAAGAAATCAAACCTTCTGACGCCTTGATCTTGGACTTCTAGCCTCCAGCCTGTGAGGAAATAAATTTCTGTCGCTTGAGCCACCCAGTCTGTGGTATTTTGTTATGGCGGCCAGAGCAGACTCATACAGAATCCGAGTATTCTGGCTGATTCTCTGCAGGTTTGCTCTCTTCCAACTTCAAGGAGTTCCTTCAGGTTATTTGGAACCTTGAAACAACCTGGATTTTGGAATTTAACAAAAAGGAAGAAAACCAGGTTTTACTGGAAGCCTGCTGTCACACGGTGCTGTGCCCTTTTATGTGTGTTGCTTCGCTCTTTAGGTGTTTATGGACACCTTCAATGTGCCTGGCACGATTCTGAGTGCTGTGGACACAGCTACAGACAATGAAGGTAAAATCCCTGCCTTCATAGAACCTACATTCTAGAGGAAGAGACAGATGATAAACATGAATGAACAAAATACATGGGGCTGTGGAGAAACAATAAAGCAGAGGAGAAGGGTGAGGGGTTGCCAAGGGAGGGAGGGGAAATCCTTAGGCTTTTTAATTGAAGAGAGTTGGGGAGTTTGTCTTGGAAGCTTCAATGACAAAGAGGCAGTTGAGTGAGCACTCAAAGGAGGAGGGGGAGGGAGCCATGCTGATGCTTGAGGGAAGAAGGTTCCAGAACGGCAAACTCCAAGACTCCTAAGCAGGAGTATGCCAGATGTGTTCAGGAAAAATGTTATTTAGACCTCACGTCCACGTTGGGAGGTGCATAGCATCCCTTCATCTGGAGAAGAAGAAACCTCAAGTGGGAGAAGTCACTCCCATGAGGTCACCCAGACAAGAGCAGGTAAT